ATTTTGACGTTAATCTCCTTCCTGTAATTATTTTTTTCTCTTCATTTTCTTCTCTTCTTTATCCTCTTTTGTAAAAATTAGAATATAAATATAGTCAGTCTTGTCATCAATAATCTTGATTTCTTTTTAAAATCATGGAAAGGCATCAGAGTGAGTTTTTGAGTCATCTTATAAACTCCTCATGGGAGTTTTAATCAGGAAAAGTTACGAGTTATTGAAGTTTTAGTGCATTAGCCATCTCTATACCTATTATTATTATTACTTTTTCGTCCTCATTGTTTCCTATGGCAGTATAAAACGTCCACTCAAACTGCTCTAAGTTTTACTTCTTTTAAAGGAACTTCTGCGAATGTACGTTTGTGATAGAAAAACCGACCACCTCGGCTGTATTCCATAATGGATTGAAATCACACCTTTCCCTCTTTAATTAGCTATCAGCAGCTGCTCGCTAATTCAATAGCTCGCTTATCTAAACCCACTGAAAGGTTGAGCCCACTGGGTGAGTGTCAGGATAGCTTACAATTGGATTTAAGTGTGTGTGTGTGTGTGTGTGTGTGTGTGTGTGTGTGTCTGTGTGTGGGAGAAAGAGAGATAGGGGAAGTGTGTGTATGTGTCAAAGGAGGATGAATAATGCCAGTCTGGAGGGCATCCATTTCCGCTCTGTGTGTGTGTGTGTGTGTGTGTGTGGGCTGAGAAATGTGCAGTGATGTAGGGTGAGGGACAGCTATTTGTAACGCACACGCAGAATCAATAATCGGGTTCAAGTCTTTTCAGCAACATCTTTTCAAAAGTTGATAAAATTTGTTCTTTGTCCTTCGTCCGTCACAAATATCCTCCTTCCTGCGTCATTTTTATGAAATGCAGAAAGACCCTTGAACAGTTTTTCAGGCTGAGGCGTTAGTATCCACACAGACAGCTTATTACCTCCACACCATTCATCCTTTAAAACTTGATATTAACTAATAATTTTGTAGTGCTCTGGCCTTCACAATCAACAATTAACTTGACTTTTACAACCTACAAAAACCTTCATGGCAAAAAAAGCAGATACTGAATGACGAAAGTCAACAAACACTGTCGACTAACAAAGTTTCTGTGCTGAATTAAACGAGTAAAACTTGGATGAAACTCGGCACAAAGTTAGTGAGTTTTAAGGACGTGTATCCTGTCAGAGATCATGAGACAGGTGATCTCTGAAACACATTCAGACCTATTTTTATCCCCATGATTTTAACTGTTTGTTCATTGTTTTCTTATCTATAGACAAGCCTGTTAATTTAAATTTTCCTGAAACAGTTTGATGTTAAAAATAAGAAAATTTACTTTCTTTCTAAAGAACGCAGCAAAGCAGCACCCTTAGTTTTATGATGTCAAACCTGATCCTGCTTCCTCTTCACAGTCGAGCATCAAACTCACTGTGAATCTGTGCTGTAGAGAATGAGATGTAAACAAAGGCTGTTTCTGCAGCCTGCCTGTGAGCATGTTCGCTCAGTCTCACACCCACCTGTTAGCCGTGGTTACAAGCATTAAAAACAAGAATAACAAATCCTGTTGCTGATGGTCTTTTTTGCTTTGTGGGTCATAAAGGCACATCAGTGTTATTATCACATTTCATAGCCTGCAAAAAACTCCTGATAGGAGCTTTAAGTTCGAACAAATGCTATTTCAGTCAGTGCCTTAGACCTTTGGATGGACCTAATTAGGTTTTCTTTTTTCCTTTTTCTCAGACATGTAATCTTTTTCACGTCCCTTGACATGTCTTCAGAAGTGTTACTTGGTGCAACGTCCTGTCAAAAAATTGACAGGAGGGTCACACCTCCGTTACACCTGCTGATATAACGTGTCACACCTACCACCAAGCGACACTTCTGAGGAAGGTCGGAGTTTCTGCTGAAACATGTCAAGGTACGTGAAAAAGATTACAAGTCTGAGAAAACTATTTCTAAGAAAGTGAAGACATAATGAACATCATTCAACTACTAATTAGAGGTTTGTATCATGTTTCCCTGTTGGATGCTGGAGAAGCTTTCTTGTGATTGTTCTTTAAGGAGTATCTTATCATTTCTATGCAGATGACATTCTGCTGTACGTGTATTTTAAACCAAATAATGTCTCCAAGTTGTCCAACTTAATTGATTGTGTGAACTGTATTAAAGCATGGATGGCAGATAATTTTCCCCAGTTAAACAGGATTCTTATATCAACACCTGAGCACGCTGTGCCAAAGGTAAGGAAAAGTCTTGGGGCTCTATTTTCGTTCGCGCCGGTGAGGCGGCGGAGGGCGGCGAGCCCCGCGCAGTTGTATTTTCGTCTGGCGGAGCCCAGCGTAAGGCGAGTTTGGTATTTTCGTGGACTGAGTCGCACGGAGGCGAGCCGAGATCCGCCAAGCTGGGCGTGGTGGCGTGGCAGGGGGAGGTGTTGACAGAATCAGCTGGCGCAGTGACATTTTCGTGCTCGCCACCGGCGTGTAACGTGCGCTGAAAGCTCGCCGATTCAAACCTGGTCAGCTTTCAGCGCAAGGCGGAACGCAGCTGGTCTTGTAGTATTTTGGTAGACCGGCGGCGTATCGACATACGTCACTGATGCCTCACCGGCAGGTTTCCACAGTGTCAGGCACATTTCAGTGCAATAAATAATCATCAACAACTATTAATCTGAGTCAGCACATACATTTAGATCTATATCGATATATTCTGATCTATATCTGATCTGATGAGCGCGTTTGGCACGCGTTTGGCACGCGTTTGGGCACACAACCTGACCGAATCAACACAGCTGAAACTGCATCAAATTAAATTAAATATCTAGTAAATAAACACACATGATGAAGTTAACAAGATATGTAATGTGTCTCCCTCCTTTTCTTTCTTCCTCTTATTTCTCGCACAGCTCGACCTGGACACGTCTCCGTGTCCTCTGTCCGTCTTGCTGCAGCTGCTGCGGCTGAACAGATGATTTGTTTCAGTGCTCAGATGCGTTATCTACTTTAAGCCGACATATGGATATTATAATATTCAGTTTTGTGGGCCAAATTTATTTTATATGCCAACATCTATGAAAGAAAGAGCCAGGCCACGGAGCGCGATGCGTCATTTACGCACAGATGGTTCCGATTTTAATGCCATTTTTGGAGTTTATGTTGTGATCTGTGCGCTAAACCCACCTTTGTCACGTGAGGTTTGAATATATGCAACTTTATGTGAGTGTCTTTTTTGTGGAAAAGGGTGTTTGTCTTACCAGTGGGTCCAACATTACGCACACCAAATCTATCTGTGCTCAGATGAGAGGGTGTGGAGGACACTTGTTGAGCAGCTGCCCTCTGTCGCCATCGTGTGGCATAGCTGTCTTCAGACATCTCTCGATCTCTTTGACTACTTCATGAAAATGGTAATACGCCTCGCCGGTGGCGGATTTAAAGGCAAGGAGAGGAGCTTATGTGATTGGTGAAAACAGGTCTCGGCTGTGTTAAACCCCTATACGCCCTCTCTCCTCCCCTTCCATGATTTATGCTGCCGGGAGGAGCTGAGTTAGGGAGGGGGGATACTTACGCCGGGCTGCGCGGCTCACCAAAATACCAAAATGTGCTTGGGAACGCCTTGTCAGCGCGGCGGATCTGATTGACTCTGCGCTTGCGGCACGTCTCCGGCGAGGCACCAAAATAGAGCCCATGATGTCTTATCCTCTGCTGTAAAACCTCCAGTCTGAAACCTGGGTGTCCAAATGGGTCTGGAGCAGCATGTGAACGGTCTGGTTCACTCATCGTTTTATCATCTAAGAAATATTTTCAAGCTCAGACCCAAAGTGTTTAGGAATGAGCTTGAGTTGATTGTTCATGCCTTTGTCTCATCTCGTCTGGATTATTGCAATTCCTCATTTACTTGTTTAAAAACCTCCTCTTTGAACCGCCTGCAAGTGGTTCAAAATGCTGCAGCTAAGCTCCTGACATGATCATCCAAATGGTCCAACGTCACACCCATCCTGAGGTCTTTACACGGGCTCCCCGTTCTATTTAGAATCCAGTTTAAATGACTTGTTCTTGTGTTCAGAGCTTTGCATAGACAAGCTCCAGCAGGACTCTAAGATCCTCTGACCAGGGTTTACTGGTTGTCCCCCGGACCAGACTACGAACTGAAGGAGACTGTGCATTTGAGTTTTTTTTCTCTGAAACTTTGGAACTCTCTCCCTTGAGAACTGAGGACTGTGGACACTTTAGAAAAGCGGTTGAAAACCCATTTGTTTGCACGTGCCTTTGTGTAACCAGGCTACTCGTGCACTTTTTGTTGATTTTTATGTCTTGTGGTCTCACCCTTTTTCATTTAATGACTGTGAAGTACTTTGTGACAACCGTTCAAGAAAGGTGCTAAAGGCTACAGTCAGCTGATCTTAAGCCAGCCCTCAGTCAGCTGACAGCTCAGGTAATCACCCTCTTCACATCCTATTGGCTAATGTCAAAATGGCGCCCTATTTAAACTGCTTCTCCTGCCTACTCTGCCTGTTGCAAACAGTCTGCAACCCACCTCCACTTCAGCTCCTCCTGTTTATGTTGTGTCTGATCTTATCAGTGTCATACGTATTGTCACTGATGCTTGCTCTGTTCTGTGTGTGGATTTTTATTTATTTATCTTAATCGAATTTATTTGCTGCTGCTTCTCTGCCTGTCTCCTCATGTATGACCATGAGAGGGAGGGGAGGAGCTCTCCCCTCTTAGAGCCACTCCGTGCAAGTGCATGGAAGGGCAGGGAACCCTCAGAACAGAGCCATACCGCCAAAGTAAAAAAATGTTTGCTTGTAATAAATAATTAATTTTGACTAAAGTGGTCCTGACTGAAATAAAATTTATTATTATCATTATTAAGGTAATGTATTTGTAATTCATTCTTGTCAAAACGTCTTCTGATTACATGAAAATTACAGACATATATTCTCTGATTGTTCTGGACTTTTACCTTCTGGGCACGCCGTTTGTCCGCTCTCTGGTTCTGGTGGTAGATGCGGCTGAAGTTGGAGACGATCACAGGGACAGGCAGAGCGATCACCAGCACGCCGCTCAGAGAGCAGATGGAACCGAAGATCTTCCCAGCGATGGTCTTTGGGACCATGTCACCATACCTGGAAAATAACACACACCAGAGGATGTTACATGATGAAGAGGAACAGATACGAAGAAAAGACCTAAACTGAGTTACAGAGAAGAGGAAACATTTATAACACTTTCATCATTTTTTTTCCCATTTGCTTTTATATCAAGTTTCGATCTTCTGCAAATAAAAACCTTTGAGGGAAATTTCAGGAATAAAGGATCCTGCGAAAATGTCTTTGAAATCTGATGAGGTGGAAAAAAAGGCATATTAGAAAAGTGAGAACAGAGTTTTTTTAAATGAACCTTGAAATTGTCGGGCCTTCCTCTGAAACAGCAGACGACGCATCTATTTCCAAAAAGGACAATGTTCAGCAAAGAAGAACAGCTCCAGCTGATGCTGCTGATTTCTATCATGCATCAAACTATCAAAGCTGCTCTATTAGTTTGTTTGAAGGTGCTGAACAGAAAATGCAAAAATCCCGACATTCAATTTATCATTTGACAAACACCAACCATGAACTAACTCGTCCAGCAGGTCAGACATGAACCAAGTCTTTGTGTCGTTTTATCTCATGTGCTGCATGAACAGGATCCAACCGAGTAAATTTCATCTGAGTACTAATCACAAAGTTAAACCTGTATTAGCTCATATTTTTTTGGCACAATAAGACAGTGTAAACAAGCTTTGAGAGCAGGCTGCCATCATCTTTGTGGACATTTTGGATTTGTTTTCGGGCTTGTTTACTCGTCCAGCAGGGAGAGAGACGGAAAGTTTCATTTGGACTGATGTTTTTGAACATTTAGTGCTGGCATTTACTCTCATGTTGGCTCTGTGTTCACTTGCGACATTCTATGTGATGCACATACAGGTTGCCATGACACCAGAAAATTATACTGTAATATATTACTCTTAAAATCCCCCCCCTCACAGTATATAAAAGCCACTTCACACAAATCAGCATCTGACGTACTAACCCTGATAAGAAGCTGAATAAAAAGAATTTCCTTTAAAACAGTATGGATTTAATTAAATATTAACTTTCAGTGATCCCATTTAATCCAGCTAAGGCCAGCTATCCACCTGAGGACTTTGAGAAGATTTGGAAAAGACTCCTGGAAAACTATCAGCTCACACCTGCTCACATCAAAAGACAAGTGACAAAGTAAAAAGCATTGGTGCTACTGTAGATGCCAACAGACTACCAGCAAACACAATGTTTGCAGGACTTCTACAACTAGGATAAAGTGACATAGTCCAGGACCCGAGGTCAACAGTTTAGCGATGGCGCTACAACACGCTACAGCAGGTACGTTTGACAAGAAACACTTCTGTTACAGACACTTGTCTTACTTTGTTAAAGCGGTTTACCTGTCCAGCAGAAAGGTTACAGGGTCACCAAGATCCTGAAGCATTCCCCGTCGTTTATGCTGATGTTGACCCGGCTTTTTAGCTCTTGTCCAGTCTACCTCTGTTTTAAGCGCCCGTTATTCCACCAGAGTCTATCTACTTTGTTTTCTTGCTTTTGTTGGCAGTCGTGGCCGAAGGAGGATTCAGACAACTTTCCGTACTTTCTGGTTGGTTTCTACGGTCTGATATTGTAGCACGGTAACTTTGTTTGGGCTCTTGAACGACACGGAGGAGCGACACATGCCTCACAACCAATCAGGCTGGGGGAGGCGGAGAACGGCTTTGTTTACCATCAGAAAGAGTAGGCGGCTCAAAAAAATGTAAAATGTTGACTACACAGACATAACAAAACACAGCGTTATCGGTATATTACCAAATGTCATCAGTAACTAATAGCTATTGACTGATATTAAAAGCTTTTTTGTATATACACCACAAAAAAAGATGCTTCTTTAACGGATTCCCTTCTTACTCCACCTTTAAATCGTGGACGGACATCATGATTTGCAAACCCACAGAAGTCACTGAACTCTCCATAACTGTGAGTGTCTTCATCAAACCAACAGAGGAGCCTGTCACACTGTGGACTTCAGAGAGATCGTAGCCTTTTTACTTGGGTAGGCAGGTAAGTGTGAATGAACGCGTTCAGATTTGGATACTGTCCTTTTCTTTATTTCTCATTTTAAATCCTGTTACTCTCTACTCGCTCTTGGCTTTGGCTAATTCGATTACACAGGTGAATGGCTGCAGTAACAGGTGGACAGAGGGCGAGCGATAGCACCACTGCTATCTGTACGGCTCAGACGGGGCATGACAAAGCCATGCCAGCGGGATCCAGAGACGAGAAGACACCAAGGTTGACTCCATAGCCAAAGCTGTGGGGCATAATGGCGTGTAGTGGAACAAATTGATTTTAAAACACAGACTTCCATGACAAGCTCTTAAGCGGATGAGAAAAGACAGAGAAATTGTCTCCCGGAGAGGCTTTTGACATGTTTGAGTGGAAACAATGTTCACTGGCGCACCATAGGTACTATTTCCACAGATGGAAAAACACAGTTTCATTCATACGGCGCCAAATCATGAGAAAAGTTACCTCATTCATCAGAGCAGGAAGAGACAATGCTCGATGTGATATTGTTCAGCAAGAACCAGCATTCATCCACTTAGAGGCAGGCGCTTGGTAACCTTGACAAGTATGGCGGCAGATATGGATCAATGTTAACAGCACAGTTAGCGTACAATCACTCTGCCCGTGTGGCGTGCCGGCTGTGCTGCTGACGTCTTTATCACAAGAAGGTGCTGTGAAAATGCTCTCAATGCTAAAACGTCTGCACGGATGTTCGATTGGCGTCTTCTACCTCCTCATGCGGGTCTTCCAGGGTTCAGTGTGAATCTTGTTCGATCTTGTGTGCGTTATCATGCTGCCACAGGCGAGGCTTACACTTTTTATAACAGGCAGAAACAGCTACCTTCACAACCAGCTGTGGAAGGAGGAATAAATGGAGATCAGACTTAAAAAATGGACACATCAAATAAGCAGACAGGAAGATATGCACAGCAACAGAAATAATAGAAGATGAAGACGTACGGTCGCAAAACACAAAGAAGTGGAAGAAATTTGACAAAAACCGAAGACAAGATCCTGTATCTGGTCTGCAGCAGGTGGTCCTCATCAGAGAAAAGCTCTTAAGTAGGTCCAAAAAAAGCAACATGGATTATAAAGAGGTGTATGTATACTCAAGAGCCTCTCAAAAGAAACAACCAAGAACAGAGGTTTGGATCCTCAAATTTCCACTAAAACCACTTTTGTTCGTCACAGGAGCCTTTTTCTCTCTCTACCTCCACGGCCGTGTGGCCTTTTGGCTTCTCTGAGTTTCCTCTCCACTGCTTTCTCAACACAATGAGACTCTTGACAGGTAAGCCCCATGCACTGTTGACCGCTGTGCCTCTCGAGGGCCACTCTCTGCCTAGACGTGGGCTGGTGATGACTTTCCACTTCTCTGATTGTTGTTTTTTTGGCCCCAAACTCCCACTCTCCATGCTGAAGAGCGTTATAATCGCCAGACTTACCTCCTGCTTACTACCCACAAACTGAAGAGCTGAGGGATTATCGCACATCCAGCCTTCTGCTCGGCATGTGCAAATATGAGCGAGCGGGGAGGACGTGATGTTGTTCAGATCCTCTTTGAAAATTACTTTTCTTCTTTTTGTTAACGCTCTCAAGTAGAGACGCGCATATTGAACGCTGACAGCAATTACTGACATGAAGAAGTTGAACAAATGCTTAACGATGCAATTTTTCCACTTTCCATTGTCTCTTCTCAAATGGATTAGCTAGATAGACATTTTATTCGTTCTACTCCAGCAATAAAGGCAAATATCATTCCTGCCACTTTAACAAGAACAAAATGAGGTTCTCAGGGCCCACAAAGAATACAAAATACTCTTTGTATGTAGATGTAGAAAATAGAGCTGCACAATTTTGTCCAAAAATAAAATCACGATTTTTTTTCTCTGAAAACTTGATTTTCAATTTTGATTTTTTATTCAGTGACAACTTCATCAGATTTCACTTTCAGAATAAAAAGTTTTCCATCAGCTCTCAAAATGAAACCACTAAAAATGATGTAGTGCATATGCCAAGCCAGTAAGTGGCGCTGTAACGGTGAAAAGGTAATACGCAAAAGAAAGACGAAGAGTACAGAGCATGTAGATAAAGGTTGTTTTGGCCGGATACACGCAGGCGCCATAAAAGAGTTACGCTTTGTGTCACATGATCGTTTCAAGAGATGCAGACAGACATCCACACGGAGATGAAATGGTCATCGTTTTTGGATTTATGCTAGGGCCCGACCGAATTATTGGCGAGCCGATTAAATTGGCCAATTTTAGCCTGTTTGAGACTAATCCGTAATCGACCAAAATTCTCAGATTTTCGCAGATATTTTCAGAAATAAAATGCGGAGAATAAGATTCGGTTTCACTTCAAAAATGTTCCGCCATCCCGTAGATGGCGCAGCGACCTCATGACAATCTTCAACCACTAACTACCTCGCAGCACAGCAGAGTGACGGATCTGAAGCAGGCAGCTCAGGGACGTATGGAGGACAGTGGTCCGCCTCAACGGTAAATAAACCAGTTTATGAAATACACAGTAAGTAAACAAGTTTCAGTTCAACCCACTTCACGATGGTCCCCGCTGTGCTGGTCTCAGTCACACCAAGTTAATGGTGAAGCACCATGTAATATGCAAGCTAAAGTTAGAGTTAGCCACCTGCTATTAGCCTTGCTACTCTGTTAGCCGTGCCAGTAACGGTAGAAGAAACAACCGTACACATTATGTGATTGAGCTACTTCTCTTACTGAGGCAGCTGCATGTCTCCAGATGAGAGCAGACCGGAAATGAGTAACGTGAGTTAAGACGTGGAGGCACGGATCGGCAGCGGGGTTGAAAACGCTTTTCTGGTCCGAGTTTGATCAGTCCGTCTTCCTGTCGGCGTGAAGAGCAGTAGCCTAAAGTATATCTACACTATAAAGTATACTGTAGATATCTACAGTATATATATATATATATATATTTTATAACTTCATAAAAAATCGGCCGATTAATCGTTAATTGGAT